TGTCTTCCGTGTCGCAATCGGACGGCCACCCCGAGGCTTCCATCTTCATTTTCAGATTTTCACGAATGTACGATCGAAACAGGTCGCTGCTGCGTTCGGGGTAGTGCCACACTTCGTGCACCTGTGCCACTTCGTACCCCTGATTCAGCGCTTCCTTCAACTCGGGGGTCGTCCACACGCCGTGACGCAAGCGCCGTTCTTCTAGGGTGTGCGTGCACTCTCCACCCTCATTCTCGTCCACGTCCTTTTCGTCACAGCAGGCCGCGCACAACGTGAACATCAGCTTGTGGTCGGCGATGCGCGGAAGCACGGGGAAGAACAATCCTCGGGGAGGGTCGACGTCGCACTTGACTAAGCCAAACCACTCTTCGTCCAGAATACAATCCGCGATCTCCTCGGGGTCTAAATCCAAATCGTCGCCCAAGTACACCATGGGGTGGCCTATGGGGTACTCTTCCTCCCACATCACCGTAGGGTACAGCGACACCACGTCCACGTACCGTATGCGATGCACGGGGTCCGAGCACAACATCAAGGCCATGGCCTCGTCGTCCGACTCGTCGACTTGGACTTCMCCCTCGCAGTAGGCGTAGAGTCCCACGGCGTTGGTACGTCCGCCCATCAACGCTTCACGAGGCTGTATGGGGTCCAGGTTCTTAATCCACTCGGTGAACACGTGATACTCGCGTTCCGCATCCCACACGTGGCTCCACATTTCCACCACGTGATGTCCCGCGGCACGCAGTTCCAACGTTCTCTCCCGCGTCTTGTCGAACAGATCGCCCATGGTTACGCCCAGGTGAGCATGAACCTGACTTCGCCTGAAGCACACTTCGCACCCGTGGTAGAAGCACCCGTGGAATTGATAGACGGTGTTGGTTCGCCGATCGTACCCGTCAACTTTGCTGCCTTGCAAGGTCGCCTCGCCCTGCGTACTTCCGGCCCAACGCAGTTCGGGCAACCCCAACGAGTGCAACCACTCCAGGGCTTGGACCGATTGGATGTCCCGCTGACGATACCCCAACGGCGGCACGACGCCCATCACTTCCGATTCCAAAAAGTTCTTCTTGAAGACCGTCAGGCAGGTCGAGGCAATGGTGACGCACTCCGCAAAGGGGTCCACGCCGAACTTGTCGACGTAAAGCTCCCGAACCTTTAGACATCCTCGGGCCATCACCATCACGTCTTGGATGCAATACTTCTCGATTTCCTTTTTCATGACGAACGTCTTGCCCTCCTGCTCGTGCCACCACTCCATGAACGCTTCCTTCTCGCGGACGTCCATGTCGTCCACGCCGTAATACTCGGGAGCGGGGAAAGGGCCCTCGTACTGCGCATTCTCCAACGTGTTGAAGAAGTGAGGAAAGTGACCCTTGTCGCCTCCCGAGGTTCCGAAGGTGGCCGGGAACTTGCGTAGGGCCATGGGAATAAAGCACACCGAATCTTTAAACGCGATCCCTTCCAGCGTCATGGTGATGACCTTACTCCCTTGGTATACGCACTTGGGCTTGATGCCTCGCTTGACGCACTCTTCCAGGATAGGGTACGCGTCGTACCCCTTGAGGTTGTGGGCCATGAACGTGTACAAGGCGTGCACGTCGCGCTTGGGGCCCAACAACCAATCCATGAAGGCCGCGGCATCGTCAAAC